TATTTCCAACGCTAAGATAAACAGCAAGTGAAAGCAAACCTAAACAGATGGTAAGAAATGGCTCACTGACAAACTGATGATCTGCATCACTGTCACTCCTACTTCCTCCCAGGTCTCGACCTATCAAACAGAACCCACTGTCGGACCCACGTCCAGTATTGCCCTGGCCAATGTGTTTAGGCGCTAGCCCTTTGTGCGCATTTCTCTGACATCATCAGCTTCAGACAAAACAGCAGGATCCAATGTCTTGAGATGAGAGCAGGTTGATATAAATGGTAACATCTTCATCGTTCTACACTATCAGACATTTCTGTGAAATTGTGTCTAGTTGGTAAATGAAGTCTCCATGTAAAGTCCAAAGCTGTTTTGTGAGGTCAGAGTAACGCTGACCTTCCACCACCAAGTTCCACTCATCTTTGAGTCAAAGTGAATGTTTGTGCCCAATCTGACAGCATTTATGAGACATCAGAGTGGGACATATGGAAGGCAAAGACCAATCCACTTAACCCTTATAGTTCAGGTTAATGTGCCCCCATTTTAATAATTAATCATTTATAATTGAATTAATAATAATAATTAATATGACAAACATTTGAACAAAATCCAGATTGGAGACTCTGGTCCCCCCAACCTTATGTTTAAAATACCTGGCATAGAAATGATATGTGGTGCACATAAGCAACAGAGGACACACACAAGTCAGAGGGTGCCTTGAGAGACAGTGCCTTGGCACAGACATACAATCAGAACTGGTGGCATGGTGGTGGAGTGGTTAGCACTGTCGCCTCACAGCAAGAAGACTCGTGTGTTTATCCTTGGTCGGGCTTTTCTGTGTGGAGCTTGCATGTTAAACCCATTGATGCAGGTTTTCTCTGGAGACTAAGGCTTCCTCACACACTCCAAAGACGTGTTGGGTTAAATGGCGATCTAAATTGGTCATGGATGTGAGGTAAATAAAGAGCCTCAAGTGCACACAGTTAAAGTGTGACTTGTAGTTAAAAGAGCTTTGAGTGTTCTGTAAGGCTAAAAAAAGTGTATTCATCTGTTTGTGCTCGGGCTTTGCACCTGAAAGCACAAATAATGTAAGAAAACAATCTAATAAACAAATTAGAATCAATTTATTGTGATCTCATTGTAATTTAAGCTGATTAAAGAGTTCTAGAAGGTCATAAGATTATAAAAGCACCTGAGCTGTCATTTTGCTGAGTGTGGGAACACACGCACAAAACCCAGTATTCGTTTTGGCAGCTATGTTTTCATGTTTTAGATAGAACAAAATCGGATATTGTGTGATAATAGATGCTTTTTTCCAAAAACAAGTGTTGTAAAACCTTTAAAAAATCACTCTCTGTTCTTTGAAGCCTTAATTAAGCATTAATCATTCATGTATTAATGGCAGACAGGCCATTTATAATTAGCCAGCGTCACACTGTGAAGGTATAGTATATGGTTAAGAAAACACCATGCTTGTCAGTGTACCCTGTGGTTGATTTGAGGGTGGTGGTTCCTGATTGTCTCCCATGGCTCTCCTCCTCCTCTGGAGCACCATCAGGAGCTCTGCTTCGCCCACATTTCGGCCAGTTCCCCTCCTGGATGGCACTCTGCGGAGGTGCTGACGCGTCATGTTGTCCTGATGTATTAAATAGTTAAAGATGGATCAAACACAGCAGATCAAGCTGCCATGCATCGCTCACGGCTGTAAGGGTTTTTTTTTTCTTTTGCAACACGGATGTGACTTTCAGCCCACAGTGAAATTTGATTTTATAGTTATTACCAGCATTCCTTTCAACTCCAGGATGGCTGACTTTCTGTTGTCACTTTTCTGGTCCTGTAAGAAAAGTGTGGATTGCAAAAAAAAAATCTGTCACTGACACAGATCACAGCTGTGTTATAACAGAAAATGAACAACGGCGGGATAACTGACCTTCCAGGAACTGTCGTCCTCCTGTGGGAAGAAGTTAGATGGTAGTTATGAGACAGAGTTTATATTTATTTCTGCAGGTTATGCTTTTTTAACAGTTTCTTTGGAAAACACTGATATATCAAATGTCAATTCACAGTGCGATTTTTCTACCTGTATTCTCTTCATAGGTCTCAGGACGATGCCTTTCTTTATTCTCTCCATCATTTCATCCACTGCTCTTGCCTTCATGTCCAACAAGGGAGCTGCTTCTTAAGTAATGAAAATGAATATTGGTGCTGAGATGGCTTTCTTAGTCTTCTATGACAGTTTTTTTTAAATCAGTGTAGTGTATTGTCCCTATTTTGACAACTTCCACTATTTAGGTATAACATTATGACCGCCTGCCTAATATTCTCCTTTTGATGCCAAAACAGTCCTGACCCATCAAGGCAGGGCCTCCACTAGACCCTGTAGCTGTGTGAGCAACAGATCTTGCAAGTCCTGTAAAAAGTGATTTGGGGCCCCCATGGACTTGTTTGTCCAGCACATCCCACAGATGCCCGATTGGATTGACATCTAAGGAATTTGGAGGCCAAGTCAACACCTCAAATTCATTGTTGTTCTCCTCAAACCGTTCCTGGATCATTTTTGCTTTGTGGCAGGACAGATTATCCTGTTGAAAGTGGTCACAGCCATCAGGGAGTACTGTTAACATTAAAGGGTGAACATGGTCTGCAACAATGCTTAGCTAGGTGGTACATTTCAAAGTAACATTCACATAGATGACAGGACCTGAGGTCTTCCAGCAGAACATTGCCCAGTGCATCACACTGCCTCCGCCAACTTGCTTTCTTCCCATAGTGCATCCTGGTGCCTGGTGTTACCCAGGTAACTGATGCACACAACTGGTCATCCATGTGATGTGAAAGAAAATGTGATTTCTCAAATCAGGCCACTTTCTTTCATTGCTCCACGCTCCAGTTCTGATGCTCACATGCCCATTGTTGGTACTTTCAGAGGTGGACATGGGTCAGCATGGACACCCTGACTGGTCTGTGACTTTGCGGACGATACTCAACAAATTGTGATGCTCTCTTTCTATCAGAACGTTTTCAGCTATTTTTTTCAGCTACACAGGTCAGCCTTCACTCAATGTGAATCAATGAGTCTTGGCCATCCATGAGCCTGTCACCGCATCACCGCTGTTCCTTGGACAGCTTTTGATAGACACTGACCACTGGAGTCTCTGAACACCCCACGAGAGCTGCAATTTTAGAGATGTTATGACCCAGTCATCTAGCCATCACAGTCAGTCAAACTCACTCAAATCCATACGCTTGCCCATTTTTTCTGCTTCTAGCATCAACTTTCATGGTAAAATGTTCACTTGCACCCAAATATTTCCCACCTACTAACAGGTGTCATGATGAAGACATAATCAGTGTTATTTACTGCACTGTCAGGGGTCTGTGTATATTTGCGTGTTTTGTATGTTTGTTCCATCAAATGTTTTATGCAAAGATGAGATGCTGTAGAATTACTGCCTGAAAAAATTAAGATGCTTTCCAAGAACACAGGACATATATCAAGATGAGGGATCTCATCGATAATCTAAGATTAAAGCAGAGTCCCTGTTAAATCTCAGTGCTTTATGCTGAAGGTTATGTTGCGTGTGGTTAGACGTACTGTTTAAATCAGCAGCAGCCTTGGCACCATGTTTCTTCCTGCTCTTCAGGAAATCCTTAAAGCTAGCGGGAGGCAAAGAAAGGGATTAAGTCTCTGAAATCAGTCGACCATTGAGTTTTACATATGGACATTTAATATTAAAACATCATCCTCACCAGCATAATCACAACCAACTTAACTCAGCTGATGTGTATTCAATATCTGAAACCATCCTGTGAAACTTAGACTTGTATTCTTAGTAGTAGACGAAGCTATGGCTTTAGTTTTTCATACTTGGTAACAGTAGTGGGAGGCAGAGGAGGTGGAGGAGGCGGAGGAGGGAGAGGAGGCAGTGAAACGGAGTCAGGAATGGCTTTCTCTCCTGGTTCGTCACTTTTATCATCGCTGTTGAGTGTCTGTTGTAACTCTTTCACTAAAAAGAAAGAGAATAGAGAATGGGAAATAACAAAAGCTGAGATGACACTTAAAAGCCTCTTTAATGCACCGGTGCTCAAACTGATGAGGCACAGGGGCACGCTGGAAGCGAATCACTGGTTGCACATCCGTTTGAAGGTGATGACCTCCGATCACTGCTTCAAGAGAACCTGAATATTTCTAAGACATCAGAAGACTTTTCTAAAATGTATTCCATGTCATGTACAGTTATTTTGTTGTGATTAGATAAGGTCGTATCTTCAGGCACAAGGGAGTACCTTCTTCCTGGAGCTGGGTGACCAAGCTGTTAGCGTCAGATAGCTGAGTTTCTAAAGTCTTCCTCTCCTCCTCGCTCTTCTCCAGCTGCTCTCTCAGGTTCTGCAGCTCAGAGAGGGCACTGCTCTCCTCCACAGCGCTCTGGCTCTGTTTTAACTGATCACAGGAGAGCAGAGGCATGATGAAGACATCTGTTATTTCCACTATGTTCTGTTACCGTAACACTCTCAGTGATCACGTTTACCCACCCGGTCCTGGTAGTAGAGTTGTATGTCACACAGGGCTGTGCTAAGTTGGGATATCTGTTGCAGTGCCTGCTCCAGCTGCACCTGCATTTTCAGGTCTGTCTCTGAGGCCTGGGCCGCCTTCTGCTCCAGGATCATCTGATGGGGGACAAATAGAGCTTTGACAATTTCAACACATATTTGGATTCTTTGTTTCTAAGAAAATGGAAAAGAAATACATCACTGACAATGAACCATAATTAGAGGAAAGATGAAGTGAGATCTAAAGGACTGGTTGCTGATTGTCTCCCAGCAGGTGGTTTTCAAACCAGCGTTTGACTGAACAATGACTTGGAAGCTTTGTTACGTATTACTCATCGGCTTCACTGAAGAGCAGCGGCAATGCGAACAGGGTTATTTTGCTGTGAGACAAAGCATCATTGTTCTCGCATTGTGACAAAAAAAATGTCAGACTTTGCCTTGAATCGTTTGGAAAATGTGCTTCTTTCTTCTCTGCTGTGGAAAATGAATACACCAGCTGTGCTTAATCATTGCTGTGTAGATCTCCTCAATCAGCAGAGTGCTCTAAACAAACCTTTTGCTCTTTTGCACAGGCGTTTGTGACATGTGTTAATGTTGTGCTAGTTGCGCACACAGTTATATAGGCAAAATGCTGGGTTTGAGCAGATTTGATTAGTTTTCGAACAGATAACGGAGGCACAGTTAGCACTGTTGTCTCACAGCAAGAGCCTTCTTGGTTTGAACCTTCTGAACGGCTGGGAGCTTTCGTGTATTCAAACATTTTCCATGTGCCAGTTGGTTTTCTGGTTTCCTCTCGTGTCCAGCAATATGAACATTAGGTTAACTGGTGATTGCAAATTGGCTGCAGGTGTGTCTCTCCGTGTTGACCATGTGACAAACCAGCAGCTTGTCCAGGGTGAGCTGGGCCCCTGTGATCCTCAAGCTCCTCTATCCCCAACTTGGATAAGTGGTTAAGAGAAGTAATGCACATGTGTAACCAAAAGAAGTGCAGAATGATCGTGCTTCGCAATACTGCAAATGTTACTATTGATCTGATACCAAGTAAATACAAAGCCAGGATTGCTGATACCAATACCGATAACAGTACTGTAAAGACAGCTTATGTAGGACAGAGCAGTTTGTCGTGATTTATGAGCTGGATGCTAATTCTGAACACATTTTTATAACCACTAAATTACTGTGTTTTTATTTTCCACAACAATTAGCACAATTGTGTCATGCTGGTATCGATCGAATACCAATACCAGCATTGGTATCGGTGCTATTGATATTTGGATCGAGGAGCCCGCCTCTAATGCACACAGACTGTTGAATTAGACACAGGAAGGATCAGTCATTCAGAGAGAAGACAGAGACAGGAAATCAAGGCACGGGAGACGCGCAAGGAAAAGCAGTTGCCAAAGTAAAACAGGAAGTGGAAGCATGTAGGACAAAGAAAGGCAGGAAACAAAAACAAAACATGAACAATGGGAAAAGAACAACAATGACATCAAAACCGAGAACCAACCCTACTGTGTTACATTGCATTACATTACAGGACCCCCATGTCATTTCCTGACATGGGGGTCCACAGCTGAGCAGCTGCTGTTGATATCATCTGTCCACATAGTGTATCTTGTAATGTGTTCCCCAACCAAAACACTGTAAGTGACACAAAAAAAAAAAAGCTGACCACACCTAAAGAAGTGTCCTGACAGAGATAATTATAACCTTAGAGATGGTCTGGTGTGGTGGTGATGGTTAATTTAAATGACACAAATATCCAGATCCAAAATAAAATCAGCTAAGAAAACCTGCTACGTGTTATTTTGTGTGTAACTGCCCCTAATACCCTTTAATTCCCCCCAAAACAATACAAGGAACGTGACCTCGGTGCACTCTGCTTATAATGGGCGTCTCTCTGATAGATTTTCTAGATTTTTTTTGAGAGCAGGTCCGTGATCAGAGAACAGGAAGTGCGAGAAAATGAGGTTTTCATTTCTGTGTTTTTACTATCGGGACAAACTGAAGCAGCAGCTTGGTGTCGGAGCATGCGGCACGAGGCTCCGCGCTGCAAATTACACCGCTTCAATCTGTGGGCTCCCTTTAGCAGAGAGCAATTTTCACACAGCAATTAGCACAATTATTTCATACATACAAACACACACACACACTGCAACACAAAGGAACAAAGAAGCACACACAGAAAAAAAAAAAAAGCTCCAAATCGTTTCCTGTTTGAGGCCCCCGCATCATTATACCACCGTGCATCACATAGGAGAGGTGTGAATGGTTGTTGTTTTCAAAACACATGAAAACAGACAAATAGTGGTGCACACAAGAGGCATTCAGCGCAGGGGGGTCTTTTACCATGAATTGAGAGTAAAGGGGCTGAATTGTGTGGAGAGTCGGGGGTCCTTTTCACAGGTAAGGACCCCTGTGAGGAAGCCCATTGTGCGCCTGTCCAGTAAATGGAGGAGGCTGCGCACAAAAGCGACAATTGCTATATGCTCGGCAAAACATAAAGGTGTCAGGCGAAGACAGGTTGTGCTTAAAGACCACTATTCTCCTTCGGCGGCAGTGATGACCACTAATTATGGCGCAGGGAGGGGCTAAATGGGAAGAGAGACAGCTTTTTTTGGGGGGAAAGAAAAGCCCTTCATTATGGGAGCAGCTGGGACTGCAACAACTGTGCTGTGTGTGTGTGTTTGTGTGTATTCTGCTTGGGTATGTGTGTGTTTTTTAAGTGAATTGATGTTTTTCGTCAATGTGTACAAGTGCGTGTGCGCTTTTGTCTTGTCTCTTCATAGAGGCGACGCACATTTGACCAAAGTGTCGTCGGTGTGAGAAACGATGAATGGAGACCCCTTGTGCTGTCCCGCCACATCAGCTGCGGTGCGACAGCAGAAACGTGTGTGTGTGTGTGTGTGTGGGTGGGTGTGTTTGCATCCCCTCCCTCCCCTTTCACTGGAGTGTCCGTCGGTTCCCCACACCCGCCCGAAGGTCAGCGCTAACACTCCTTGTCCCGTTCCTGTGGCACGACCTGTCACCCTCAGTATATATAGGTGTGAATATATGACAAAATGTTTTGTCCAGTGCTGAAAACACACACACACACACACAAATACACGCACACGCATGCGCTCGCACCTGGGTGGCTAAGACTTCAGCGTGTTGCCGGAGGCCCTGCTCCAGCTCCAGCTTCTGAGACATTTCTGTGAACTCATCGGTGACAAGCTGGGACACTGGGTGTGCACACGAGGGGGAGGGGGAGACACGCAAAACAAATATTAATGACGAATTTATGATGCTTTTGATTTAGAAGCAAGCAGACTCCTGTTTGCATAATGGTTTGGGATAAATGTCATTTATGAATTAAAAATACACAATGTACTAAATATGGCTCAGATATGTCTATAAGATGAAAAAAAAATTGCATAACTAGAAAAAAGTGGTGTGTGTGTGTGTGTGTGTGTGTGTGTGTGTTGGTTTGTGTGTAATTTCAGCGAAATGCTCCTTCAATTGCACTCAAAAGCTGGACTGTTGTTACACTGAAAAATTAATGAACCACAAAAATGAATAATCTCAAGTCTGTTGATTCATGAAAGGATTTTTTAAGTGAATCAATAATGAAAGTAATCTTCAGTCTTCAGTCTCATCTAATCAGGACTTACCTCGTTTGAGTTTATTTACAGTCTTGCTTTGTTTGTTCAGTTTCCTCAGAATGGCCTCCTTCTCTGCAACCTCCAGAGCAAGCTACACACACACACACACACAGAGAGAGAGAGAAAACACAAACTTCAACTTTATGATATGTTATAATCTTATGGTTTGATGATTTACATTTGTTTTTTTGGAACAAAGAAGCAGCTGTAAGGTTCACTTTCACAAAGCAGCCAGTCCCTTTGACTGTAGATGAAAGATGGATGTCACTCGCTGGTTTGCAAAGTCTTGTTTTAAAGCACTGAGCTTTTTGAAACTGGACTTGATGAGCGAGGGCAGTTCTGAGTGCTGGGAGAGACGGCAGGTGTCACCACTCATTACAGCGTCATGCAAACCTTTTTTTAAAGTTTCTCCAAAGAATCTGATTCATACTGTTTCAACATCTCCTTCTGAATCATCTTTGAGCTCCTGTGCGTGGTAAAAACTGTCAGAATCATGTCTTCAACCTGGCCACGGCAAAAGCACCAGGAGATAAAAATCAAAAAAGTGCACGACAAGCTCACACCAGCAGATTGCAACAGCCACAACGGGTGAAAGAAGGCTGTTTATTGACCTCCTGAACACTAATTGGAACCATAATTTGCTAAATGGACAACATGTATTATTCAATAAGACTTTAAACAAATGATTGAGACCATAGAGTGAAAAAGTGTTTACTCAGGGTCGGGGTAAAGGGAGCCACAGGCCATTTCCCCATTAATTCCATTACATTTTATTTTATAGCTAGATGAGTCGGCCCCTGCTGGCTATTAGAAAGAATGTAGCTTTAAGGCATCTTTACATACTGTGTTTGGTAGGATTCTTTAAGACAGGGGGGGGGGTCTTGCAGGTTTTAGATTTGTCCTTGATCCAACACAGATGATTTAAATGGTGAAATGACCTCCTCAACATGTCTTGAAGTTCTCCAGAGGCCTGGTAATGAACTAATCCTTTGAGTCAGGTGTGTTTGCCCAGGGTGAGATCTAAAACCTGCAGGACACCGGCCCTTGAGGCCTGGAGTTCCCCACCCCTGCTTTAAGTGCTCAGACTCCACAAATAGAAAAACACTGTCTACATTACCTGCTCTCTGAGCTGCGTCTGCTCACTGGAGAGATCCTCCACTTGTTGCTCCAGTTTAAGCTTCTCAGCCAGCAGACCGTCAACAGACGCCTGCAGCTCTGACACACATGACAGGAACAAAAAACAAAACAAAACAAAGCCAATAACAAGATTTTATTTTCTATTTTTTCCCATTCTAATTTCAAAATAGCTGTTTTCATATTATGGGTAGTGCCAGCTAACCTGTGATCTTGGCTTGACTCTCAAGCAGCAGCATCTCCTCGCTGCTGCTCCCTCCGGCACCATCCACCTCGTCACCATCCACCTCATCACCATTAACCGCAGGGTCAAAGGTCACATCAGGCAGGTTCTCAGGTAGTTCAGCGATGAGTGGCATGAACATCTGGCTCTTTCTCTTCAGGACTTTGTTCTCTTTGGTCACCTGGGGAAAAACCAGATCAAATAGAGATCTGATGATTCAGGTGCAAGGAAGGGAAAGGAAAGGAAAGGAAAGGAAAGGAAAGGAAAGGAAAGGAAAGGAAAGGAAAGGAAAGGAAAGGAAAGAGTCCAGTAGTTAACAGACATACTGTGAGAGCCAGTGCCTCAGCGCTCTCCCTGCAGGAGCGCTCTATCTGGAACTGGATCTCCAGCACGTTGATCTCTTTCAGGAGCTGATTGGAAGCTGATAAAGAGCACAGTGGTCAGTCACGAGCTCTTCATATAAGCATACTGAAGAGGATACAATCATTCAGAAAACACACAAAACAAACACATTCATAACAATTTCCTGTGCGAAAGCTCCTCATTTATTTGTCCCACAGTCCTGTCATTTAAAAAACATGTAAACAACGTTGATATTTGAAGTGAAGAGTCTCACCTTCCTCCAACTCCGACAGCCTCTGATTGGCTTCGTCCCTCTGCTTCTCCAGGATGTGCCACTGGCAATCAAATGTCAACCAGCAAAACGGAAGAAAGAGATCAATCAAGCAACGGCAAATTGACGCAGCTGATTTTTATTCACATTTTATTCCATTATCAGACAGCTGAGGCGCCAAATTACGTTTCAACGTAATCACGTTTATGCGCTTTTTAGACCATTTTGATTTGGCAATTTTGTTTAATTTTTGTGTCATTTCATTTTTTATCCTTTCTCTATAATAGCAGGCTCTTGGCACACGGGGAAGATTTCTAAACCAGAGTCAGTCAAATTTTTTCCGTCCATCAAGCTAGCAGTACACCAGCCTGAGCAGGGCTCAGCGATCCCTCCTGTGAAAGGTATCAGTCACATCAGTACCTGAAGGTCTTCCTCATCTTCGGAGGAGAAAGCACACTCTTCATCCGAGTCTGCGGGCAAAAACATGACACTTTATATTGTGAAATGGCAGCTGAAAAAAAAAGACACTGGCAGACGACCAAAGATCAGAATGAATAGAAGAGAAACTCCATGAGGTTGTTGTGCTCTGCGAGGAATACGGGAAGTGGAAATCACATGAGGAACCTTTAAAGGTTTTCGCTTTCCATGGCCTGTGACTCACTGAAGTTTCCCATTGTTACTTCACTTTGTCCTACAGACTAAGGAGTCAGCAGTGTTGAAATCAAATAAAGAATCCTCTTTCTTGCTGAGCGTCAGACCAGAATAGTGATTCCTGTTGCAGCACATTACCTATGAAACCAAAACTACTACACTGCTTGTGCAGGTTAAACAACACGTGTAGCAGCACCTCCAAAAGTCACAGATTAATCCCTCATATGTCTTTTGTTTAAGCTGTTTAGAAACGGAGGTGTAAGAAACTCACTGCCAGAGAGGCCGGCTCCAAAAGCAAGTCATTACCAACAGACCCTCACATTAAAATGCTGAGCTTTAAAGCAGAAAAACTGTTTTTCATCTCTGTACGACTTCATGACAGCTGTGCGAGGGTCAAAAAGGATTTAGCTGCAATGAGATCAAAAGTCATGGAGGTTATAGCTGTCTGCTAGGCCCCACCTGCTCTAATGAAATCTACCAAACTGGACCGCATGACCATGTTTTGTGGCGCAGGGCCTTTTGGAGCGTTTCTTTTGAAATTATATAGCAAATAATAAGAATTGCATTCTTGTTAATTATACAGAGGATTCAGAGTGAGTGAAAGTTTAGCATTATTTTATTTTACGCAGTAGAATTTAGCTGGTAACAAAAGCTGTTGTAAACAATCAAACACAATAAATGTGCATCAACTAGAAAACCTGCACAATGAACATCCACGCAACATAAACGTATTTTATTTTTCTGACGTTTTAAACGCTGAAACTTTTATTTAGCTCCTTCAGCACCTCTTTAGGGCCAGATTATTGAGTCTTACCTGCAGCCGCAGTGTCCTCATCCTCATCTTGTACCCACATCCTGCAATGCTTTCAACTTTTCGCTCTTTAGTAAACAAAAAAAAAGAGCTACGCGTTCCAGCACACACACAAAAACACAACTTTCTCCTGAACAGCAATGGCTTTATTATGAAAGAAGCAAAAGGGAATTTCAGCTTAAACCCTCCCCCACTTCCAGGATTCGAAAAAGAGGAACCTTCCCCTGGCGTACGGCCGAAAGCTTCTTACTAATCACAAGACCACGTCTCCAGAGTTTATGAAAAGGATGAGATTAAATCTTAATGCAAATAATGATGCTGGATATTACAGATAACACCCCCCACCCATCCCTTTTTGTTTCATATAATATAAAGGGGGAAAATCCATGCATGTGGTCTCTAAGGGAGGACACTGTCTCTCTGCTGCACGATCAACGTCACTCAAGGAGCCGAGGCAAAGGCAAAGCTGCTTTCACTCCTCTATCAGCATCTGCACTCAGAGTTCATGACCTCTGAGGCATCAGACATCTGCCACAGGAGCCACGTTTCTGCGTAATAATTCAGGAGATGACAGCGATGGGTGGGAGCATGATGGTGATGCTGATGACACGTATTTCTCTACTGTGAATCATATAGAAACTTCTAATTTCTGAACCCTCACTCCTGTTTTATTCACCCACCTGCCTTCTAGGAGTATATTTTTAGGAGTTCCAAGCTGGGCGGGTCGATGATTCAGGGTGCACGAGGGGTCACATGGAGATCACAGTATTTTTAGTGTTTCTCCTACTGCCAGAAACAAAGCAAAGAAAAAAAAACATGGCTCTCCATCCCGCTCAGTCTACTCGTTTCTCCTGAAAGTAACAAATACACATTTTTACAGGGGTTCTTTAGCAGATTGTCACAAGATGTCACAAGTTAAAGCGTAGTAAATTGAGCATTTTCACAGTATTGCTGCCTTCAGAGAGACTACATATATATATATATATATATATATATATATATGTAGACGCACGGAAGTATGTATGTATGTATAAAATTATCTAATATTGACCTTCAAACCTTATGTTTCATACCTAGTTATGTACTTGTCCACAATTCGTTGTCTCCTTTAAGCTATAAGGTAAAAGAAAAAACAATCTATAGCACTTCTTTGAGTCTTTATTTATTCCATAATTACAGCTATTATTGTTGGAAGAGAGTCAAATAATGCTCCAGGAAGCCAGCTTGTGAAATAAATTAGCAAAGTGTCCACTGGCTTCTTTATTTTATGTCAATTAAAATCAGAAAGTAGTTTCTCTTTAAATCCCTCGACATGCTGGCATTCATCATTTCCAGCACAAACACTGGGACAATGATTATTTTCAATAATTCCTGATGAAAGCAGGACGCTAATCAAAGGATCTCATTGAAATGCTTTTCAATCACTTTCGGTGCGCATATGCAGCTCAAGTACAGAGATGTGCTGTGGTTCACTGCAGAGGGACATCCTTGTCGTCTCTCTCTCTCAGTGTGTTGCTCTCTTTACAGGCACCACCTGAGCACCAAGCCCTCCTCCAGCCTGTCACCATGACCTTTACTAATGATTTTTCACCATGTTAATAAAGGTGAAATTGTCACTTAACATTAGCCGTTGTCTGGTGTTTCTCACAGTGTGCATCAGTGTCAGAAAACCTCATTAAAAATCAGAATCTTTAATCTTCTGATTAAATAGAGACAGATTAGAAAACCAGCAGGTTTTATTTTTCATCCAAATAGACTAAACAATGATGGCTTTGGGTCTCACTCAACCTTTGGTCCTGATATTACTCATGTTTCTTTGTTTTAATTTTTCTCTCATTTGTCAAACACACGAGGAAAAGTTGTTACAAAAAAATGTGCAGGACAGTTTTAGACATAAAAAGCTGAATCCTGTGATTTGGTGAAATGCTCCTTTACTAGTTTACTAATCAACATGTAATGATTATTTATTATAGCAGGTTATTTTAGTTCATATTATCTGATAGAATACAGCTGTGTTGAAAGCATGACCAACAACGACTTCAAGCATTTAAAACTATCTTGTGGGAGTCGACGTTCGTATAATTTAAAACGACCCAACTGGCAACACTGGTCTGATCTCCTAAACACTCAAATTTTAACAAAGAAATTCACCACAGTGTCATCATGAGCAGATAAAAGTGTTTTCACAGGAACTGTAACACCTGCTGTGAGCATCCCCATGTAAAGACGATAAACGACAACATAACAAAATACACATGTAAGAATATCCCTCAATAACTTAATATACAGTTATTAAGATGTTATATTATAAAATACAAAAAAAAAAAAGAAAGTAATGGCATCATACAATAAATATTTTTAGGATTACTTTGTAAATAAATAAGAATGTTTCCACCAGATTTTCAGGCCCAACGCATCTGAATACTTTATATTTGGGTGTCCGAATTTTTAGACTGAAGC